TAAATGGCTGGCCAACATCAATCAAGGGAAGATAAAGAGAGATCATCCTTTGGCCCTCGCAACCAACATTCCTGGTCCCTTCAAGGGAATCACATGCCTAATGGTACCATCGTCACGTTACAAGTGCCTTTCAGTGCAGGAAAGTCATCCAATTTCAAAAGGTTTTAATTTTGGAGGAATGACCTTGCTGACTCTCCTCTTTCTCCTTCGGGATTCAATCAAACATTCCCTCATCCTTACTAGCAGAAATATCCTTTGAAGCTTACGTTGTTGCAGGCTGCGACCCGTCAATACCCAAAACTTGTACAATAGGTAACATTGGATTATCACCAACAATATCAATGCCAGTAAACGCCATCAACCTTCAATAGCTTAGGGATAACAAAATTATTTGATTTAAATACAAATCTTTCTTTACTTGGAAGAATTAAGGTTAAAGACAGAAGATAATTAGTCTTTCTGTTGATTTGACTATTCTCGGATTACCTGCTTGAATCATCTTCTTCAGATAATTCATGAAAATTGAGAAGATATATAGACACCCTAGATAGCTAAACTAAAATGCTTAATACACCATACATTAAGCAAAATTGTGCAGCAAAATACATAGGGACCTAAAGTGAGCCCCAGCTTTCAAGTTTATTTTCAACACAATTCACATACTAAGAAAAGAAGTTCTAGCCCGCACACACATATATATCCAAATTGTTTGGAAAGCTATTGCATCACGGGGACTAGACTGAATGACTGGTTTAGAAACACATAGGATTAAAAGATCCCTTTCAATACTGGAAAATGGGTTTAGAAACAAGGCAAATTGAATTGAGCAATTATTGGAAATTCCTTAATTTGTTGAATCTAGATGATAGAGCACAGACACCCATGTCTGAACTAACAGCCGATAGTTGTTTGACCGGCAAAAAGGGAATTTTATTGGAACCCTTGTACATTATTGCAGCATAACTATATTCCAGTTAGCAAGACAACTGAAAATCCATTCAGGCAATTGATCGAATACTTGGTGTGCATGTGAAAAGACATTCTATACTTCCAAATCCCGTGGTTCCAAAACCCCAACAATCAGATTCTCTATTCACTCCACTAACAAGTACTCCTATTTCTAAGTCTTTGAAGAGATAAGTTATCAATAAACACAAAAGATGGCTATGAAAACAGCAATTTGGCCTCCTCCATAGCAAAAGTGTTACAAAGCGCCAACATGCAAAGAATAAGCAATCACTAGTGCGATTGAGTGGGAAAAATAGAAGAGAATGGAAGAAAGAACCTTGTCCCCCCAAATTGAGTGAAGGAGTCATGGTTGAGATGGAGTGCTGCAGCGTCACAGCAGATGATTTCCTCCTCAACCTCCATCGCCATTCCTACTTTCTCCTCTGCTGCTGCATACTTTAAATGTTAAAACTGAACACCTTAATCCTTTCCATTGTGGATTCTCTGATCAGACAGCTATTAAATTTTACATAAAAAACATTGGCTGTTGATTTCGAAAAATAAAATGAGATCCCTACAAATGACTTAAAACATCAATTATTAATCAAATTTCACTGGCATCTCTCAACATCTAGTCCTATTCTAGATCTGTTACTTCTCGGGACAACTAGCAAAATATAGCTATTGTATATCAACCTTCAATGTCAATCCCAATATTTAAAACACACATCATCCCTTCTTTGATTTCATTGAATGAGAGCACAAAGGGGTACTCAAACCCATATGCCACAGGATAAACACTTCAGCAGGCCACTGCAAAGAAATAATTACAGAATCCAGAGCCACTTAGATACTCATCATTCTCCACAAAGTGCTCAGCCAAATCAATTTCAGAATCCGTCAACAAATGTTCTCGTGTCATAGACACTAGTGTTGTAGCCACATTCATTCCCCTACAGTCACTTGGAAACCCTACCTAAACATATTTAAAATGCCAAAAATTTTATTTCCAGTTTAGAATTCTAACAATTGGGAAAAGAAAAATAGAACAGTAGCTTAGAGTGCCTCTTTAATTGGTTGGGTTTGATCGAACCGTGGAAATGACAATGGCTTCCTTCTCTGAACCTTGGAAACCATCA